ATATATATATATATTATAAATTAATTGATTTAAAATATGGTTATTTTCGCTACACAGTTCCAATATATATATATATATATATTATGTGTGTCGGGGAGGAGGTCATGTTTGTTTACAAGTACGTTTAATCTGACGTATTTGACTGGTGGTTTCTCCAGTAAAGGTGAAGCAGACTCGAATCCTCCCGGGGGCGGCATTTTCTTTAAAAAGGTTCCTCAGGTGTGCAGACCATTTAGAAATAACATACTATTTTAAAATAAACAAAGAATCTACTCAAATACGTGCTTTCCATAAAATGACGTTTTTAATATATATATATATATATATATATATATATATATATATATATATATATATGTATCCGATAAAATGAGAACGAAAGTAATATATAAATTCTAACGTTAACAGCATTAATCCAAAAGAGGGATCGATACCGATATACTGATTATTTATTATAATTTTATCATATAGACAAAAACAGTTTACTCACTACAAAGATGCAACTTCGTTTCGGTGCATTTCGATTGCACCTCGACGGGTGAGAACCGAAAATGGTTATGAACAATTCTGCTTGTGGGCAAGCCATATGTGAAACGTCACTTCCTTTTTTCCATTTGTTTGAGAAAAATATACATGAAGCAAAAACGTGACGGGGTGAAACAATAGTGCTTGCAATTTGATAGCAGTTTGGTGAAGGGTGTGTTAGGTGTTAAATGATGGCCAGTCTTGAAAGGTTCCTTGTTGATAAGAACGGCCAAAAGTTTAAGCATAGCATTTCTAAGCCTTCTAAGAGTGAGGAGTTGGGGAGGAAAGTTGCGAATAGGAGATAGTAATACGATGGAAGAGGTAGGAGAGATAAGGTCTAACGATATTTATAGTAGTAATTAGGAATGAGTTTTTTTTTTCGTTATTATAAAAAATCAAATTAAAGCTGAATTGCATATATTTATGTTGGAGTTATCACTACTAATTCTGTAATCAATGAAAGTGTTTTTGTAAATTAATAAATTTAAAAGTGTTGCCTTCTTTTTAATATGTTGAATATATGTTATTCGAGAATTAAAAAAAACATAAAAACAGTTTTTGATTTAGGAATCAAAATATAAGTAGATAAATATATTGAAATGTATGGGATATCAATATAACTTTTATAATCTAATTTTGACCTATATATATATATATATATATATATATATATATAAACACACACACATACAAACACATGGAGCGTTGGGTAAATTGGCGCCATTTTCTATTTTTAATTTCGCGCATGCGCGTTGTTTGTTTTTTTATTCTCTCGCTTCCGTAGGTTCAGTTGGTCACTGACATGATTTACTGCTTGCCATTGAACGCAGGATGCTCAAATACGGACATTTCAGTGTGTTTGGATGTCAAACTAAGAACAGTACAGACGATTCGGAAAGAGTTGCATGAATCTACAAAGATGTTTGGAGTAATCACTAGCGATGACGACGTTATGCCTCCATGTAACTCCCCACAGGGCCACAGACTCAACACATAGGCCTACATCGTGCCTTGAGGAGGTCGTGCTGCCCTGCGTACAGGGTGTGGCTGCTGGAAAACCCTATGTCTGGCAACCGGAATCTGCACTATGCCACAGAAGCAGGAGAAGACATTCATGGCTGTGACACAATTTCTGTGACCACATAATCCCTTACATCTGGACATCTAACTCTCTAGAATGCAACCCCACCTCGGTTATTGTGTGTGGAGCGCAATTGAGCGAGAAATTAACAATATTCCCTGCAACACCCAAGATGAACTGAAAGCAAGGATTATGGCAGCATTCACCAACTTAAACTAGAAGACAGTCCAGAAAAGTTCCAGAAGATTCCAAAGTCGACTGAAGGCCGTGGTTGCAACCAATGTCGCTTTAATTGAATAAATTTACTATGTAGTATTTCAAGATAATTTTGTGTAATTTTGGTAAATATATCTGTTAAAATGAGATGTCAGTGTTATTTTAAATTTTACGTAATTTAGACGACAATTTATCAAACGCGCACTATGTATCTATCTCTCTCTTTTTCTCTTTCTCTCTCTCTCTCTCTCTCTCTCTCTCTCTCTCTCTCTATATATATATATATATATATATATATATTTTGTAATTTTGGTAAATATATCTGTTAAAATGAGATGTCAGTGTTATTATAAATTTTACGTAATTTAGACGACAATTTATCAAACGCGCACTATGTATCTATCTCTCTCTTTCTCTCTCTGTCTGTCTGTCTGTCTCTCTCTCTCTCTCTCTCTCTATATATATATATATATATATATATATATATATATTGTGTAATTTTGGTAAATATATCTGTTAAAATGAGATGTCAGTGTTATTATAAATTTTACGTAATTTAGACGACAATTTATCAAACGCGCACTATGTATTTTATCTCTCTTTCTCTCTCTTTCTCTCTCTGTCTGTCTCTCTCTCTTTTATATATATATATATATATATATATATATATATATTGTGTAATTTTGGTAAATATATCTGTTAAAATGAGATGTCAGTGTTATTATAAATTTTACGTAATTTAGACGACAATTTATCAAACGCACACTATGTATCTATCTATCTCTTTCTCTCTCTCTCTCTCTCTCTATATATATATATATATATATATATATATATATATATATAATCACTAATAAACAATATATCATCGTAAAGAAAGTCATGAAGGAATTAAACGTTGAATATATATTTTAATGCATACATAGATACACACGCACGCGAACACACACGCACGCACAGTCAGAGCAATTATCTATACAGTTGGGCGTTTTATCAACGGCCGTACGTCACTAATTTTTACCTTTGATATATGCTATAAAATATTACAAAAGCCAAAATAAGTTCTCTCACATTTTTTCGATTTCGCCTCTAAAATACATTAATAAGCTCGTGTAATTTAGCATAAAGCCTGAAATTATCTTTAAAAAAAATTCCGACAAAAAGGCTAGTGACTCCCCCTGTCGGACTCAGTTGGCATTAATAAGTCAATAAATCTTTCCATATTCTCTAAATATTTTCTGACTCAGAATGATGACCATTTAGAGAAAATATGTTCACTCCTGCCGCCACTTTTCACGGACAAACGCTGTGCATTTTTATATTTTTCTCGGAATGAGTTTCGCATCTGCTCTGGTAATTTCCCGCGAAAATGATAGCCATTTATCAGTTACTGGTTAATGTCATTAATTCAGCCATGTTGTTCGAGTGGGTAATTATGGGAATCTGCTTTGAATAAGCAATTCGAAATTTGCGTTTGTCAAACCGCTTCCTGATTTATTCGAGACTATACTTTGAACGTATCGGCTATTTTCTTCTTTTTTTTTTTTTAATATTAAATCGCGACGAAAAAGGAAGCTATTAAAAACAGAAAGTAAAACGTAATTTGATATTATGATAACAATGTAGCCAATAATTGAAGAAATTAGCAATAGTTGCAGAATTTTATGGAAAAAAATGTGTTTGCGTCAGAAGAAAGATTGTATCAGATATTTTGTTGTAGTTTTTAGTATTTATATCCGTTTTTTTTAATTTCTTTATCAACGTTTAATAATTCGACTAAACGCTTTACTTAATTTATTAAAACTGAAAATAAGGCCTTAAAAATTATTTTAACTACTAGTCCCTGTGCGAATTTCACGCTTTTCCTCTTTAAATTTTCTGTTTCATAATATTTAATCAGTAAATACGCCAATTACTAGTTCCTCGCCTATAAAATAGCCGCGGAAATTGCTGTGTTGTGACATTAAATTTCTGATCGCAACCGCTTTAACAGTGAAGTGACCATCAAAAGTACGAATGCAGGTCAGTATTTAAAGAAGTAAGCGGGTACAAATGAAAAGCATGTAAAGTGGGAAGATTTTCCCTTTCACTGAAGCAATGTTTACGGACATATCACATTAAACAAACGGTTCTCGAACTATCACCGAAGTTAAACAACGTCGAGCCTGGTCAGTATCAAGTTGCGTAACCGCTTGGGAATATCAGGTCTTGGATGTGCTGTGTTTTAATGGATTGGAATTGTAATGCTCGGAATTGTCAATCGCAGAGAAGCTAAATTTACTTTCAGTCTTGTTCGTTACGTTCACTTACGCGAAATAACTTTGGAAAAAGTATGAATCCACTTCTTCTCCCTAACCTGTTATCAATTAATTACAAGGAGTTGTATAACTAAAAATCTATTATCTAAAAAAATTCTTACAATCTAAAAATATTTTCTGGCTTTAAATAATTTGTGAAAGGTTGATAAGCCGTATAAAATAAATAAATAAATAAATAAATGCACTGTGCAACACTTAAAAAAAAACTACAGAACATCTGTGGTCATTTTTATATTCACAATGGCATGAAAAATCCATTTCTGGCCTTCTTTTTCTTGAATAAGGTATAGTTTTTGCAAAATTGTCACTTTCAAGAATCTCGGCAAAAAATGTTAAAAATAAATTTCTTACAACATTGCGCTTCCATATTTTGTATATGTTATTATGTTTATATTATTATAAACATTTAACCATGTTTATCATTTAATACGTTATGCCTTAAAACCTGTATTTAATATATTTTATATTTCTTTATACCTTTTCTATAGGTTTCGAAAATGACGTCAAGACAGTGCAAAAATCATCCTAACAGATTCTGCTACATATGTGGCGAATTAACATTTGCTAAAGAAAAGCGCAGCATTACAAGTGATATCAAGAAATTGTACAAGGCGTACTTTCATTGTGACATAGGAGACCAAGACAAGCCATGGGCTTCTCATGTCCGTTGCCTTACATGTGTGAAGACACTGAGCACATGGTTTGCAAGAAAAAATGATCACATGAATTTTGGTGTGCCAATGATTTGGCGTGGGCAGAGAGATCATTCTAATGATTGCTATTTCTGTCAGCAAGACTATACAGGCTGTACTACGGCAAAGAAAAAGAAACACATTGTTTACCCAAATTTGCAATCAGCAATGCGCCCAGTTGAGCACTCAAAAGATTTGCCTGTGTCAAAACCCCCAGATCAAGAAATGTGGAGTTCAAGCAGTGGAGATGAACATTCCAGTGATGAAACAGTAGAACTTAATGATCTAGAAAGTATGGATAAACCAATACTATTTTCTCAAGAGGCTCTAAATGACTTATGTAGAGATCTCTATTTAACCAAAGACAAAAGTGAGCTTCTAGCATCAAGGCTTAAAGAACGTAATCTTCTTAGTAAAGGAGTGAAGATAACATTGTACAGAAAACGTTCACAAAAACTGCATGCATTGTTTACCATGAAAGATGACTTATGCTTCTGTAATGACTTCGCTAAATTTTTTGAACAACTAGAAATACCATATGATAACAGCAACTGGCAACTTTTCTTAGATGCATCCAAAGAAAGGATCAAAGCTGTTTTGCTACACAACGGCAACACTCTGCCATCTGTTCCCATAGCTTACAGCGCAACCATAAAAGAATCATATGAACATTTAAAAACAATTCTAACGAGCGTACAATATAATAACCATAAATGGCATATTTGTGCAGATTTCAAGATTGTAGCCATGCTTATAGGCCTTCAGCCTGGCTATACTAAATTTTGCTGTTTCCTATGCTTATTGGACTCCAGAACAAGAACTGAACATTATGTACGCAAGCATTGGCCCGTTAGAGATGAAATTGAGCAAGGGAAATATAATATTAAGCACAAACCACTTCTGCAAAGTGATAAAATCCATTTACCACCTTTGCATATTAAACTTGGTTTGTTTAAACAATTTGTGAAAGCCATGGACAAGGATTCCCTCGCATTTGCATATCTTGCAGAAAAGTTCCCTTCCCGAAGTCAAGCTAAAATAAAAGAACGTATCTTCATAGGTCCTCAAATTTGAAAAATTGTACTCGATGAAACTTTCAACATCTCAAGAAAAAAGAAAAAATTGCCTTTGAGTCATTCAAGAAAGTTTGTGATAAGTTCCTTGGAAAATATCGCTCAGAAGACTATGTGCAAGTTCTAAATGATCTAATACGTCATTATCATGATATGGGGTGTAACATGTTCCTTAAAGTTCATGTACTTCACTCTCATTTGGACTTCTTTGCGGTGATGTGAGTGATGAACATGGCGAGAGATTCCATCAGGATATTTCAGTGATGGTGAAACGTTTTAAAAGAAAATGGAACCCTGGCATGTTGGCAGACTACTGCTGGAATAGGAAGAAGAGAGGATGACACTATACACAAGAGGGTTAAAAGGACAACTGTTGTATAAACTGAAAGTTCTTTGTTTTTTTATTCATAAGCAATAATAATAAATTATGATTTAAAGTACATGAAAACGGTGCCTAATCTAAGGGAAAAAAGGTCAGATTTAGTATCAATATACTTTTCTAACACTTAAACAGGTCTCATGTGGCATGTAGTTTTTTTTAACTTGATATTTGTTGCACAGTGATATGCATCTAGCTGGCCAGCTAGTTCTGATCATTATCTATCTATCTATCTATATATATATATATATATATATATATATATATATATATATCAGTCTAGTTCTGATGATTATCTATCTATCTACTTCTGATGATTATATATCTATATACCTATCTATCTAGTTCTGAGCATTATCTATATGTATCTATCTGTCTGTCTAGTTCTGATGATTATCTATCTATCTATCTATCTATCTATCTATCTATATATATATATATATATATATATATATATATATATATATATATCTGTCTAGTTCTGATCATTATTCTCTCTATCTATATACCTATCTATCTAGATCTGACGATTATCTATCTATGTATCTATCTAGCTTTCTGTCTCTCTCGTTCTGATCATTATCTATCTATCTATCTATCTATCTATCTATCTATCTATATATATATATATATATATATATATATATTTGTCTGTCTAGTTCTGATCATTATCTATCTCGTTGTGATCATTATCTATCTATCTATCTATCTATCTATCTATCTATCTATCTATCTATCTATCTATCTATCTATCTATCTCGTTGTGATTATTATGTACGCATCTTTGTATCAATGTATCTCTCTAGTTCTGATAATTATCTATCTATCTATCTATTACTGTCTACATCAGTATATGTATATTGTTAACGGGAAATCATTTTTACACGTGTAGTTATTTTTAGGATATTTTGGTACTATAACGGATATCGGCGAGGAAAGTGGATTCGGGGAGCCGATTATAAAATCTGACCGCGTTTAATCTTGCATTAATTTTCTTGGGAATGGCATACCACACCAATCTATTGCTTAAAATGGTAGGGTAAGCTGGAATCTCTAATCTTGAAGGGAAAATAATGAATTCCAAATCTTGAAGTAGGCCACGGGAAACTACCCACGAAATCATGGAAATTTACAGATAATTACGAAAAGGAATCTCTGGAGAGTCATGATTCCTTAAATCCTTCAGGGATATGGCACTCCAAAAAAGATTTCCATAAATTTCTTTTATTTCAATTCATTGGTCAAAAACTGGCTACCTGATGGCTTTCTCGAATTAACTCCGGAATAAAGTCAACACGTTTTCCTTACCATTTTATTAGATTGTTCCAAACGGTTTTGAAAATATTAGGTTGGTGCAAAAATAATGACGTAATAATGTCGTTTTTTAACTTATTTTTTAAAGTCGAAAAACGACATTATTACGTCATTATTTTCGCACCAACCTAATAGTAAAACTGGGGATAAATCAGCTAAACACTTGCAAAATTTCTTTGAAATTTGACTTATTGATTTTATTTCGCTCCTTGATGAGTTCGACTTTAATTTTATGCTAATGTCCGGCCCCCAAAATAACATAGGGGGTGTTGAAAAGTTATAGTCCCAACCATTGTCAGAAATCCTTAGTCTAGTATTTGATCATTAAAATACTGATTCGGGAAGGTGGATTGCACTGACAACAGTTTTTTTTTCCTCGTTTATCAAACAAACCAATTCAAATCGAAATTCATTAGAAAGTATTTAAGTATTTCACACAACCACGGTAGAATGATAGAAAACTGTGCCTAGAATTAGTTTATTATATCTTCTGTGCCGCCCTTTCTTCTATCCGTCAATTCTCTGTCGTTTACAGTTTATTTCACAGTTTAGTTGGGAAAACTTGCAAAGCGCCAAGTCGTGTTCCCCATGGGCTCTCATTTGAGAACCAAACACAAATTGTCACTGTCTGCAGTCTTTTACTTTCATTTTTGCATCGTACTGTTCCAGGCGATAAAAATTGCCCTTTCGTAAACGAAAAAGTACAGTGGCACTTCGGTTTTCGAATTTAATTTGTTCCTGAAGGCCGTTCCTGAACCGAAGATTACGAAAACTGAAATAATTTTCCCATAGGAATCAATGTAAAATGGATTAATCCGTTCCTGGAGCCCGGATGATTTCTTATTCTAACTTTTAAAACTGTATTTTGTTTACAAGTTCATATACAAAACCAATAAAAATCATTAGATTAAGAAAAGATAGACACAACTAAATAAGGAATAAAGCTGCGCATAACAAAGAAAGGCAATTTTATTCATCCTTACCTGCGCTGAGGAGTTTCGATGACACAAGTGGAGGGTGGAGAGGAGGTGGGAGGAATGGATGTTATTGTTTGGAACGGGAGTCCCCCATCTTCTGGACTTTCTGTTTCTCACAAGCAGATTTTGCCTGGGACTCACTTGGCCTCTTTTTCACCAAAATCCTTTGTATTGAAACTTGCTTTTGCGTCTGTTTCACAGTTTTACGGAAGTCAGATATAGCACTCTCATTGAATATGTTACTGACACGGCTTGCTACTGCCTTATCAACGTGATACACTTCAGCAAAATTTTTCACTTCACCCCATTTTTTTTTATTTTTTTTAAGCATTTCACCCCAAGCAAGGCGGGAAGCCACTAGGACGCAAGGGGTTACAGAAAATTTAGAGCAAGATCAGATAGGAGTGATAGAAGAAAGGATGAGGGTAGTGGATATAGCAACTGGAGATGTAGATTGACATTACACTTGAATAGCTGGAGATTATAGCTCTCAGGGAAACTGGAATAGGGAACGGAGTTCCACAGGCGAGAGGTGTGAGACATGAAGCTATTAGAGTAGAAGAGACGGCTACATTTAGGAGTTTCGACAGTGAAGGGGTGAGAGCGGGATGCCAGCCACGTAGGGCGCTTGAACTCATGAAATCTGGGAACCAGCGAATGCAGCTCCTCGGAGCAATTACCATGAAAGTATTTGTAGAACAGACAGAGAGAGGCGACGGCGCGTCTGTGAGAAAGTGACTGTAGACGAGATGCCAGAGCAGGGCCAATTGCATATCCGCCTCTGGATATTCTTATCAAGAACCCCGAGGCAAACAGAAGGGGCACCAGACCATATATTTGCAAACATTTCCTTAATAAGAGCACTAGGCACATAATCCTCTTCCCTCCTGCACAACACAAGATCTACCAGCAAAAATCAGGCAACAGTTCTTAGCGTGTATACTCTGAATGCGGACTGAGGCAAGACTAGCGCCAATCACGCCACACGCTCAGTCACTCGGTGATCACGTGCTGTCCACGTGGTGCAGTTGGTTTGTTCAGCAACCGAGTTATGGTACAAAAAACGGGGCAAATTTTCTTCGACAACCGATTTTTTTTTTCGAAAAGGGAGCCGATCGACAACCGACGTTCCACTGTAGTTATCATGAAATCAGAAACCAGTGCCAACTCTCAAATCTAAACGACATCCATAAAAAGCTTTCCTTTGTCTGCGGTAGAATATGAAACGTGTCAGTATCTGTCTATATTTCTGAAATGAGGTATTATGTACACTATTTACATTATTCGGACTATTGTCTTCATCTTTGTTGCCATATTTATCACAACGTTTCGGCCGTTGTACGCTCCGGCCTTCTTCAGGTGGTTGGAATGTCGAACTGAACCCTTTATTTCACTCGCTGGTGTAGACCGTTTTAGTTCCACGTGCCATGTCTATTGGATGTCAGTTATCAGTTATCTCCTGTCAATTCCCCTCTCCAAGTTCTCCACTTCCTTAACCATTATTGAACTCACACTCTTTGGATCATGTCCCTGGATCTAACTAACACCTTTATCCACTGTGCCATGTGTCCTTGAGTCTACCGCAGCGAGCGAAATAAAGCGTTCAGTTCGACATTCCAACTACCTGAAGAAGGCTGGGGCGTACAACGGCCGAAACGTTGTGATAAATATGGAAACAAAGATGAGGACAATAGTCCGAATAATGTAAATAGTGTATGAAATTTGTCGTCTATTACGATCTAGTGAACATGAAAGGACCATTACTGAAGACGTTTATTGTTATCGCCATCATCCGGTAAAGAATTAATTACGCACTAGTAAACAAAAAAAAACCCTGTTATTCTTCAGTATGGAATTACACAGGCGAACTCTGCAATACAGACCCACAAAAATAAGGTCTTTAGGATGGGAGAATTTTCAACATCTTCCATACTTAACAGATTTAACGTCTAGAGCATTGCTTTGTTTCTATCACCAGAAACGAATAAGGTTAAAACAGTCTTTCAATTATTCTTGTATTATTTTTAGTTTTCTCGCCTTTTGATATAGATATTATTATAAACAACATTTCGACCAGGTACCCTCTGGCCATCATCAAGTGTTCATTCATAGGCTGATAAGGAAATACCAGAAAACTGATAACTGCTCATCTCAAAAATGAAATAAGTTTTAAAAGCACTACAAAAGCCATCATGACTATATTTAAAAAGAATCCAACATTGAATATAAAAAGGCTCCAAAACGAATATCCTTCTGAACGGTTGTGTAGTGGATATAGGTGTTGCTTATACAGGTTTTACTGTCGTTTAGTGTCTATGACGTACAAATCTAGTAGGAATGAACAATAAGAGAAGGTACAATATCGCAATAATCAACAGATAGTCCACATGAGCCAATCAATAGACGCCAGTTGATGACAACAAGGTGTGTCTAAATAATACAAAAATATTGAAGATTACTTTCTCAGAAATTAAATAATAGTGTTTCAACAATTTTCTTTTTCAGGGACAGCTCAGTTTTATATTTATATATATATATATATATATATATATATATATATATATATATATATATATATTGGAATCACAAAATTGCTTTCTAGTTGAGGTTCCGTCCTTGGAAATGAATGTTATTACATTTTTGATTGATAGCATTCAGATAAATTTAATTTACATTCCTTTTTATATACTTTTATATCTGGTATATAATATTGGTATCAATATTGACTTTCATCGGATTATTTTCAGGTGGGATGTTTTTTGGGTTTTTTGTTTTTTTTGGTAATTTGGTAAAAAGTTTATATTTAGCATGCTAAAAACTGATATAGATTTCTTTCTTTCCTCCGATATCTCATTCTTACACATTCTCTCTCTCTCTCTCTCTCTCTCTCTCTCTCTCTCTATCTATCTATCTATCTATCTATCTATCTGTTAAAACCTATCTGTTAAACTCAGTCTTCTACTCCCACATTCTCTCAGAATATATTTATAATTTCGTTTCTTTTCCCAAACAATATAATATTTGAGCACCAATAATAAAAGGTCAAAATAAGAAGTTAGATATTTAAATCTACGAACCTACAAAATACTTAGAAATACAGGTTTTCGCAGGTGTTTTCATTTACATTGACAGTTTTAATGGCAGTTATGCAATCGAGCGCTACACTTTCAGACGGACTCATACGCTCTTGCTAAGTAGTAGAATTATCTCGAAGAATCAACTGCAAAACAGATTCCAGCCGAATCTTTATCGTGCCTCAGGCATTGTCATAAATATCTCTGCGGTCACTACAAACTGTCTCAAGCCTTTTCATCACTCAGTGTGGTTCTCGTCTGGAGAACTCAACAAGCAGAAGTCAAAATAGAACACAACATGCAACAACACGTATTGTGAAGATATTAACAAACGCAGATTCTATCACAGAGAAAGAAATTCTTTGGAAGAACAAAAAAAAAAACCGCTAATTCAGTGAACAATTAAACATTAACTTTAATTTATAATTGACATGGTGGTGTGCAAAAGTGGACGCTTAAGGTGTGAGCTACATATTGGTAATGTCAAAATTAATAGTGAAGCGGAAAAGTATATACACGGAAATCTGAAGGCGCATACTAACAGCGAAATTTTCTTCCAGAAAATATGTAAGTCCTAATAGTAAGATTAACCGTTTCCTTAGACGTATTCTTTGACAGTAAGCATTTCTGTTGGTTGAAATTCATAAAATCTTTCTCTTAAAACAGTTTTTCATGAAAATTAGTTTTCTAAATGGGACTGTAGAATTTAACGCGGTTTTATTTCATTACCTTTTGTACGAAGTAATGTGGAAAGTCAACATTTTTTTGTCTTCGAGTTACACGTGCTATCCATTTTAGTTGCTGCCGCTGTTGGAATTCTTCAAGTGATATGGTTTCTGTTATGTGGTGCACCTACTGAATCGGCAGAGACTTCTCCGTAGATGCCTCTGAATATTGTTCTGACATTGTATGGGCCGAAGATCTTCTGCATCTTCTCCGATAAGCCCTTCTCCTCTTCGACCTTTCTATTTCTGCCTGCAGAAGCTTATGTTATGTTTACAGGGTAACTGTCATTCCGAGAGTACTGATCATTTTCTGTTAGCAAGTGTTTGGGTCACCACTTATCGGACGATCTCTATATTTATGTTTTTCGAGGGTGGCAGATGAAATGGGGGTATTTTCCAGTAATGGTTGTCTTGTGTTAAGCGAGAACAAGAGACGAGTAATCGATAAGGCAGTAGATAACGATTGAAGTTGCATTAAAATTTTTTAAAGATCAAAGTTGGCTGGAAAGCAAGAAACCGGAAGAAAGTTCCACAAATGAAAAATGTGAGAAATGTAACTGTTAACACAGAACTTAAGGTTACATTTAACCAATTCAACTGTAAAATAATGAGACCTACTTGCCAATCTAGTACTGCGTTTAAATTCATAAAGTCTTGGTACCATAAATGTCACTTTATCAATACATCTGGAAAAGATTTCAACTGCTTATATCTACAGTCGACGGTTCCATTCTCAACAGGGGTGGACGAGAGATGAATACTACAACATGAAAAGAGATGGTGTTAAAATATATATAAACCCAAGTTCTCCTCTGAAATTTGAGAAATAATAGTTATTTTCCAAGCATAGCCGAAAGTATGGGGCATCTAGTGAGGATCGAACTCACTTTTCAGTTGTAATTGATCTAGAGAAACAAGCTTGCTAACCATTGCACCACGCCGAGGTGCCCTGATTTTCCAAGCATAGCTTAGATGTGGCATAAGGCCGAAATTAGAGAGAACCCAGTGAGAATCGAACTCACTACTTAACCGTAATAGTTCTAGCGAGACAAGATTGCTAACCATTACACCAACTCGAGGTACCCATTCTGAGAAATAATAAGTCCAGTTGTAATACTTCTAAAATCTGCAATCGCAAAACTATACCAACATTAGTTTAAAATTAACGAACACTTACTTTTTTCCAGTACATTCCACTTCTTAGTGAATAGTAAATATATAAGTAAATGAATAAATAAGTGAAATATTTTTTAATGATTTATTAAGTCTACAATGTTGACAGACATTCAGGAAAATTACAAAGGAAATCAAAATTGAAATGGCTTTTTCGAAAATATTTCTTTAAAATAAAACAAAATAAATCTATCGTTCAGGAAAATTATATGTACTTTCATCATTTATTCAACGCACGAAACAATTTTCTTTTAAAACATAATCGCTGTAGAAGAATTTAAAATCAATTTAAAGATGGATATACGGCGAAGATGCGTTGAAACAAATGATGAGGACAAAGACACGATCAAATTGGAACAAAGAAATACGGAAAATACATTTTTAAATTTATCAATTTATGAAATATTAAAAATCATTTCGTTTGTCTGTCTGTTCGGTGCAAACACGTACCCAATTGACTATTCATAAGTCAACCCAGGTTTATTTAAATGCACATGTACAACGGTTTATGATGGGGGCACCTCTAAAAATGTAGATGACCAGAGCATGGTGCCTTATCTGTCATCTTGGCGAGCTCTCTCAACTGCTTCGAGGAAGAATTGGCTAGTAGCATTCAAAACCAAAATAGTCGCCTTTCATCATCCCTTTCGACCTCTAAGCAAACTTGTTTCGCTAGATCAATTACGACTGAGTAGTGAGTTCGATCCACACTGAGCGCTCTGTACTATCAGACTAGTGCCACATCTAAGCAAGCTTGATTCGCTAGATCAATTACAATGAGTAGTGAGTTCGATCCACACTGAATGCGTTACACTGTCAGCCTAGTGCCACATCTAAGCAAGCTTGTTTCGCTAGATCAAGTACGACTGAGTAGTGAGTTCGATCCACACTGAGCGCTCTGTACTGTCAGACTAGTGCCACATCTAAGCAAGCTTGATTCGCTAGATCAATTACAATGAGTAGTGAGTTCGATCCACACTGAATGCGTTACACTGTCAGCCTAGTACCACATCTAAGCAAGCTTGTTTCGCTAGATCAAGTACGACTGAGTAGTGAGTTCGATCCACACTGAGCGCTCTGTACTATCAGACTAGTGCCACATCTAAGCAAGCTTGATTCGCAAGATCAATTACAATGAGTAGTGAGTTCGATCCACGCTGAATGCGCTACACTGTCAGCCTCGTACCACATCTAAGCAAGCTTGTTTCGCTAGATCAATTACAATGAGTAGTGAGTTCGATCCACACTGAGCGCTCTATACTATCAGCCTAGTGCCACATCTAAGCAAGCTTGTTTCGTTGGATCAATTAGGTTTGATTACACTGATTGATCTATATAGTCGGCCCTGTGTCACATCTAAACTACGCTAAGAACGTAATTTGGTGCATTTCGATATGGTGCAATGGTTAGTAGGTTGATCTCTCTAGATCAATTTTGACTGAATAGTGAGTTCGATCCTCGCTGAGCCCTCCATACATTCGGTCTTGTGGCACATTTAAGCTACGATTAGAAAATTATTTAAGGCACTTTTATATGGTGTAATGGCGAGTAAGCTTGTCACGCTAGATCAATTACGACTGAATAGAGAGTTATCTTATCACTGGGTGCCCCATAATTTCCGCCTTGTGCCACATCTAAGCTACGTTTATAAAAAAAACATTTTAGGCACTTCGAAGTCGTACAATAGTTAGTAAGCTTGTCTCGCTAGATCAGTTACGACTAAATAGTGAGTTATATCCCCACTGGGTGTCCCACACTTTCGGCCTTGTGCTACATCTAAGCTACATTTAGAAAATCATTTTGGGCACCTCGATGTGTTGAAATGGTTATCAAACTTGCTAGATCAGTTAAGACTGGAAAGTGAGCTAGTTCCTCGCTGGGTGCCCAATACTTTCCGCCTTGTGCCACATCTAAGCTACGTTTATAAAAAAAAAACATTTTAGGCACTTCGAAGTCATACAATAGTTAGTAAGCTTGTCTCGTTAGATCAATTACGACTGGATAGTGAGTTAGATCCCTACTGGGTGCCACATACATTCGGCCTTGTGCTACATGTAAGTTACGCTTATAAATCTACCATGAGCACCTGTATGCCGTGTAATGCCGAGAAAGCTTGTCTCGTTAGATCAAATACGACTGGATAGTGAGTGAGATCCCTACTGGGTCCACATACATTGTGCTACATCTAAGCTACGCTTACAAAAGCATCATCATCATCACCGAGTTGACGCTTATTTGTCTCTAGCCATGATAAACAGTGGTACTTTCAATGAGGTTTCTTATCTGGAACGTCTGTTGGGTACTCAAGCTTTGTCTGGACCTCAAGTGGTATTTGTATATAAAATCCATAACCTGAAACTGATTTAGAAAGTACCTGACTCCTTCTGACCTTGCCTGCCTTTATAACAATCAGATCAGACTAAAAATGGAATAATACTGCCATACCTGTACCGAAGCTGCTTAATTCTCACTTTCCAGCCTTGTTCAAAGCAGTTTACGCGGACTTGTAGGTTATAGGTTATTTTCAACCCTACAACCCCTTTCCCTACAGGTGAAACGTTATTAGCCCCTAGCTACTCTATTGCTATCGCTATTTTCACGGTAGGAGTTCAGACTTTCACAGTTTGAATCTATTATGTCACATACACAGGGCTGAATCATTCTCATTCCCTTCATATTTCATTGATAAGGACGACGTTCCGCTCAGAAAGCTTCTAATATTTTGTCGAACACTCTCCGGAAAGGAGGCTCCTCCGAACATTCCAAAACTTAATCTTTTCAATTCTAACGTAAACTTTTATCCATCTTACATATAATAATATATATCATAATCTTCACTTTTTACCTCTTCCTCTATCACTCTCTTTTAAGGCTTGTATTTGGTGAACAATAGAATTTTAAAATGTCCTTCTCAAAAAGATTTCTGTAAAATTTGGATATTGCTTATATGTTCAGCCTCTTCTTTATCTGTGAGGAGATTATTCAAAATTTGCTTACATATGAGAGGATTGATATTACATAACCGCTCTTTACTCCTTTCATACTTTCTAACA